GCTTAGTTTAAAATAATCTGTCATTAAAATAACCTAGCCTACTGGTAATTCTTCACTCTAACTGGAGTTAGGTCACAGGAAAAGACTTTGGGGTGGTTTTTTTCTCTTCTGCATTGGAGTAGAGAAGAAAGAACCACTAATTTTAGAGTAGTGATGTACATGAGAGTTGTCCCTATAAAGGCACCATGGTAAGATTTCAACCTGAAATTTGGCTGCAGTGGAATATGCAGGAAAAAAGAAAGCAGAGACAGGCTACTTTGAGAAATTTAAGTCCATTTAGCACCAGGCCGTAAACATTCGTATACCTCAATCATGAAGCTGCAGTTAGTTTCATACCCTGCAAGGAAATAACCTCATCATTTGACAAATACTGTGGGAGGCGCAGCGTTGAGGGTTAGGAAGCTCTGCTTTCCCCTTATATGCTGCACTGATGGCAGGGGACATACATTATAATCACAGGCATTGCTGTTTGGAGATGCTGCAGCTCCTGACTTCTATTTCCAAGCCTCACTCCTACATGTGTACCTCATGGACTTCCTGGGATGTGACAAAGGCAATCTCCTGTCTGCCCTATTGTGATGGCTTAGAACTGGTTTTAGTAGTAAGAAAACTGTCTTGATAAATGAGCTACATGCATTCCTTAAAATGTCTGTTTTACTGTTTCTTCTGAGATGTTGCTCTCCGTCTGCTCTGAGGGAAGCAGATAGATCCCGGCATGGCTTTCTAATAAATCTTCTCAAGGAGGGGCTAGCATTAACATTTGTGTAGGTTCTTTTTCATCCTAATCCAACCTTAGTTAATAATCAGAAAATTCTACATGCTGAGTAAGAAGATGTAATTAACCCTTTGACCCCAGAATCTTAATGGGCGCCTGTTGAAACAGTGGGCAGATTTAAAAAAAAAAAAGTTAAAAACTAGCCTGCAGTGATTAAAACAGCTCAGCACAGAGTAGCTTTCTTGATTCAAATTTTTAAAAAGTTCCACAGAACTTTCAGATTAATCATATTTGGTTCCCAGGACTAACTGATTGAATGTTTCTTTTCTCCTCCCATCTTTTAAAATTCAGATACCCACATTCAACCAATATTGATGCTACTCTTAAGACTTTTCTAAGCCCTAGCTGTTTTGGCTCAGTGGATAGAGCTTTGGCCTATGCACAGAAGGGTCCCGGGTTAGATTCTGGTCAAGGGCATGTACCTCAACTCAGTTGCAGGCTCCTCCCCGGCCCGGGCCCTGGTCAGGGCTCATGCAGGAGGCAACCAATCAATGTGTTTCTCTCAAATCAATGTTTCTCTGTCTTTCCTTCTCCCTTCCACTCTCTCTAAAAATCAATGGAAAAATAGCCTCCGGTGAAGATTAAAAAAAGAAAAGAAAAAGACTTCTCTAAGCAGCAAAATACAGCTAACTATAGATAGGGGTCACTCTGCATGAGAAGGCAATGGCTACATAAAGAACAACCTTGCCAGTCCACTAAGACCTGGTTTCCTATCCCATTCTTCAATGTGCCAGGTAATCTAACCAGAGCATGAGACATTCATTTCACACTAAAGATATAATAGACTGAAATGGTTGATAAGCATAAAAGTGAAAAATTAGCTAACCACTTTGGTTTTACTTTGTTTTGTTTACCTCTGTGCTGGCATATAACTAATCTGACTAGTTGTTTTTATCCCCACCACATTGGCTGTTATTTTTAATTGAATTGACTGGACACTTTGTGTCATGTAGACACAGACTCATTTTAATCTCACCAGGAAATTGGAACATGTGTTGAAGCCTCTGTTTTTGCCAAACAAAACTGGCCAGTCCTTAGATCACTGCTGCTTAATAGCATCAGATGTTTAGCCTCCAGATATTCCGTCTCCCTGCTATGGTATCCAGACCTCCCCTAGTATTTTAGCAAATACATGAGATATGAACCTAATGTTAAAAATGCAAAATCCCTTTTAGTGAGAAAGTAAAGGATGTGTGTCCATGGCAAATGAATAGCACTCCGTGTTTTGGAAGACTATAAAAGAAGCCAGTCTAACTCTGATATCCCAAGTGTCGGGAGATATTCCAGACTATGTTAGACATCTGGAGCATCAGAATCTGCAAATAATCTAATAGGCCCAGAAACAGAACCCTTGGAGGGGGTACCATCCCTCTCAGTCACTGCAGCATGTGTGCTATAAGGGGGAGAGAGCGCTGGGTTTGGAGGTTTCTGCGCATTTACTAAGCCTTGGCTGAGCAGTTTGTTAGGTGTTGGCTAGATAAAGTTGAATAATTTATCACCCACTGTTGAGAAATTCAGTCTCCTTGGAAGTTGAATAGACTAGCCAGGGACACATCATGTCATAAATACTTCGATAATACTAATGAAGCGCAGCAGCTCTCATCCTGGCTGTGCCGCTGGCTGGCTGGATGATCTTGTCCAACCATTTAGCCTCCCTGTACCTCAGTTTCCTCGCCTGTAAGATGAAGACTACACTACAGATTATCTCTGCGCCAGCTCCACCAGTCTTTTCTGCTTTTGATCAGCCTTTTCCTTGTCACTTGTCCCTGTAGACATTCTCTTGTGATCTCTCTCTCTTTCTCTCTCTCTCTCTCTCTCTCTCTCTCTCTCTCTCTCTCTCTCTCTCTCTCTCCTTCTTTTCTGACAGTGGCATTTTAGGTTTGAGAAGATGGCTACCCAACTCTTGGTGACTGTATGCCAGGCCATGGCTATCAGGTTGCATGGAAAACCTAACCAGGCTCTTTTCTCCATGGGGAAGGTCGAAAGGGGAGCGTCATAATCCTCATGAGGTGAAGACGTGCTGAATGAGATCCTCCTCAGACTTCCACAAAAGCATCTCTCTCCCTTTTGCACTGGTTTAAATAAGGTCCCACTGCACCACACTGTAAGCTTGAAAGGTGGATCTCGCCATGGGGTTGAGGTTTTGTCCTGTGTTAAGGAACTCTCTCTGCTAGTATTTCACTCGTGTCCCATAGCTGGTTCCAGGAGGGATATTATAGAGCAAAGGTGACCTATTGTGAAAGTGACTTATGAACTCTCTTGTCATCCCATTTCCCATGTTTCTCCTTGCTACTAATGAGAGGATTCTGTCATTTGAACAAATCATTCAAAAACAAGTGAATTTTAAGCTGCCTCAATATAAATATTTTAACTTCAGAAATGCTGTACAATTTATTTTTTCATTAATATACAAAACCAATTAGAGAATCTTTATATTTAGTGGAAGGCAGCATAGTTACCAAGTCTATCAGCTTTCCAGTCCCAACTCTACCACTTCCTGGGGACAGGAATGTTGCCTAACTTTGCTAAGCCTCAATTCCCTAGCATGTAAAATGTAGATAACAATATAATTACTTCAAATGGTACTTGTCAAAATTAAAAGTGAGTATATGCAAACTGCTTAGCACATATTGCTTAATAAATATAAACTATTATTATTATACTATCTTAACCAAAAGTTTGTTTATTATGTAATTTGCTTTTATGTGGAACAATGCAATATGATTTTTGAAATGTTTTTAGAAACCACTAAATCAGAGGAAGAGGTGGGGCACCGCCCACAGTTTCTGACCAGTGGGGCTATGAAAAAGGATCTGGAAGCATGGAATTTGAATCTTATATGTACATATAAGTATATATAAATACAGAGACACACATATTCCAACAAGCATAGATACATATATACATAAATACATATATTGCTCTCAAAAAATTAGTATTTTAGGAGACTGAAATTGCTGAGATTTCAGGCAGCCTATTTTTCTAATTAAATTTTACATTCTTCTTCCATATTTTATACGTAAGAATTATGTCATTCAGTGTTGCCACTTACCTGGTTCCCACTGTGGATTTCCTATACTTCCAAAGTCACAGCCTCTGTGCATACCACTAGTCTTTAAAACTTCTCTTCCCATGCAAGTAGTGTTTGTGCAATCTACCTGGTTAAAAATCTATAATAATAAAAGCATAATATGCTAATTAGACCGGAAGACTTTCCAGACGAAGCTGGGGCTGCAAGGGAAGTCTGAGTCCCAGTTGCCAGAGGGAAGCTGGTGCTGGCCGCCAGGGGAAGGAATGCCTACTCTTGCACAAATTTCGTGCATCAGGTCTCTAGTAAATAAATAAAGCAAACAAAAGACATGAAGATGATGGCACATAAAATGCACTTGTATTATAAGAATTTAAAACAAATTTATTCTCAATTTGAGTGGTACATTGCAGCTGGAGTCCCTGATGATTTAGACCATTTATCAAACTGAAAATGCAGCCCTCCATTTAAAAAGTGAAACTAAGGTTTCCAGAGTTACAGATGGTGTGTAACATCCTTCTCCCCCTCACCTCCACCCCCTGCCTTTCTCCTTTTGTTTCCATTTCAGGAGTCATAATAGAAAGTAGATTTGTCACACAAAAAACTTTAATACAGAGTTTTGCAAAAAAGGGATCACAATTTGAAGGTCTCAGCCTATAAACATTCCCCCACAAGGTACTGACCTCTCCTATCTGTTCTAACAAAAGGCAGTGGGAGTGAGGCGGGCATAATCCTTTATTAATTAGAAAATTACTGATGCTCTTCATAAGGAAGTATTTTTTCTCTCATTTCATTACAATTTTCATTGCTGTTCAGCTATTAAATGGAGAATTTTGCTGATTTAATCTTAGTAACGACTGAATCCAAATAAATAAATAAATAAATAAATAAATAAATAAATAATGCAACATCTTATAAAATCAACATGACCCAATTTTATACATGAATGTAATGCATCTTAATCAAATTGACAGGGACATAAGGAAGTCACTGAAATAAAGGAAGGCTTGTAATCTTAATTCAGACCTTTAATTTGTTCATGTATAATGCGATGGTAAAAGATCCTAGGACCTCTGTTCAACACGAAGGAAAAAATGGTCTTTAATTTGATATGTGTTACTTGTATCAGATTCCTTACTAATTAAACCTCCATCATATATATTTATTAACCTTCTTATTTATTGTTTCTTCCTACAGTCCCTGGATGGCTTTGTGTTTGCACTAAATCAAGAAGGAAAATTTTTGTACATTTCTGAAACAGTCTCAATCTACCTAGGCCTCTCACAAGTAAGTAAAACCGTTTAGATTCTTGGTGGTGATTGTGTAGGCTCCTTGAATCTCGTGCTTTTTCTTGCTCAATGGATATTCTGTTTAGCATGAATTACCAAAGAATGAATTATTCTTTGATCAATCTTCCTGACTCTTCTCTCTCACAAAGTCAGTGGGAAAATGGTATGTCAGTTGGGAGCACTCGGAATAAACTTGTGCTCAAAAACTTTAGTCCCCTCCTCACCCCCAAGGGTCATTATTAATTTATTGAAAACAAATGAAGTTTCTTCCCTTGGTTGTTCTGAACTTTGAAACCTCTGTACCTGGTAGGAGAGGGACACAGGGATAGCACTTCCCTTGTGTCCTATTACTGGATGTTTATGGAGTTCCCTGCATTGTCCTGGGAGCTGACACAATGACAGGGAGTCACTGGAGTCAAGAAATGCTGAAAGAGACCATTAAAATGTGTTGCAGGGAGGATTCCAGCAAGGATATATTTGCTGCTTTTGCAAATGCTTCTGAATGCGGAAAGACAGTTTCATAAACTTAGATAGCCTTGTATTATTTGCAGTTTAATTACTCACACGTGTCTGTTAGAGGTTCAAAGATAAGAAAACGGAGGCAGCTGGGACAAGGGGCAGAATCCTAGATGTTCGTTCTCGCTCTTCCTCTGGAACACAAAACGTTTACCTCCAAGACACGAGCTGTGTCTAAAGAATGCCAAAATACACCGAAGAAAAGTTCGCGATCCAACTAATTATCCAGATGTTTTCTCCATAAAAATGCTGAACACCTGGATATTTGTGCCCATACAGGTGATTGGCTGAGTTTGACCCTTTCATCTGGTGGTTTGGCAGGAGAGAAACGCAGCCTGGGTGGGAAGGAGTGTGTGTGTGTGTGTGTGTGTGTGTGTGTGTGTGTGTGTGTGTGTGTGTGTGTGTGATGATCTGCCAAGTTGGATAATCTATTTCTCATTCAGTTGCTCCTTGGAGCTAAAGATGGAGGTAAGATTTGTCTTCTCTTAAGCAGGACCCTCCCCAGAATCCTTGATTCTGAAAGTTGGCATCACTCTAAGGAGGTCTCCAGTGTGGCTGGAACCTTTTGGCTATTAGTGAGTTTGCTGGATAATGGATAAATCAAGAAAGACATTGGGAAATAATAAAGAGATATTTGGCATTCGAGAAGGGTTGGGGGAGGAGGAGAAACACTGCCAAATTTGATAATTTACTGTTGAGAATCCAAGCAAGGGTCCATTAACTCTTCCTTGAAGAGAGTGCAAGCTATTTGCTATAGTATATAGAGTAATTCTGTTTTTTTGTGGACTTCAGCAAACCAAATGATAGAAATGGAGCTATTGTTAACTCAATATTAGTATTCTTGCATCTTGTTGAAAGCTCTGGTTTTATAATTGCCTATAATAATAGACTTTAAGCCTCGTCTTAATCTGTTTGGGACCTCATATGGGGATTCTCCAGTTTTAAAATTGGTGTGCCACCATGATAATAGGTATAAAACCAGAAACACCACTGTTTGTTGTTCTGCAATGCCCATATTCATCTGTTTTATGCAGACTGTCCAACAAAGTTTAATCAGCCAGTGAAGAAGAAGGATGAATAATTAGTTTAAGCAGGTAAATGCTAATTAGGGAACTCCTGAAAAGCATCCATTATATACTAGCTCAAAACACATTTTACAGCCCTGGTTAGTGGTGTAATCCAAATTCTGTCAAGGCAACTGCATTTTCTGTAATTGAGATGTGTATGTTTGCTTTGCATAACAGATGGCTCTGTATGCTTAGACTGATAGCTAGGAAAATAATAATTGCATTATTCCGGCCAAAAGAATATTAGCTCTTGGGTCTCGGCCATTTCAGTTGGTCCTCCTGCCAGCACAGCATATGCACATATATGGATTGGATTTTCAAGGAAATTGATGCATCTGGAATTGTGTGGCCATCTGAAATATCATCTGTTCAAGAAAAATTTGGCTTTAACCCTGTGCTGGTTTCTCCTTAAAAGCAGTTGATTTCACTGCTTCTCTCCTGTAACATTACGTCAATCTTGTCCTAAAATCTGAGTCAAATCATTGAGGTTTCTGCAGAATAGAGTAGCTGCGTAGACATGGCACAGTAGCTGGCAACTCCCATGCAGCCATTCCCTGCTCGTATGTGATGGGTTTTAAAGTGTGTGTCGATAGCCAGCATCTTGACCTCCCAGGGGTAGACACTGGCATAGTGTGCCGTTGCCCTGTGGGTGGATGTGTGCAGTGTTGCCATAAACGGTCAGTATGCTGGTAGAGGCTCTGAGGTACGAAACGGAGGTCATCCTTTGGAGGCATTACACAGCTGAAATGATGAAGGGTAAGTCACTAGAAAATGATTTTTGCTTATATCATTGTGTGTACTAGTATTTAGAGTTCAGAACTAAATGTTAAGAATAGTTCTGGGTCAACATGAAAACAGACTGATAAGAGCATGGTACTTTTTTATGTGCACCAAAGAATGAGGCGAAGAAAGGCTATGCTAAAACTTTGGGAAGGGATTTCCAACCCAGTTAACGTTCTAAGTCCTAATTGGGTAATTACGGTTCCTGAGACCTAACAGTTCCCAAGTTTCTTCGGTGCCCTCTTCAAATGTGGGGTGCTTGTGGCTGAATACAAAGTAACATATACTCAAAGTCATTAAGTACATACTTAATCATTTACACACACACCCAAAAACTCTGCTGTGTCCTACAAGTTGGCTTCGGTGGTTATTCTATCAAATTCTAGACTGTGATAAGGAATCTATAAAGTTATACTCCCTCCTTTTCTTTATAAATAGTTTCATGAAATAAAGACAGCACGTACCTGCAGCATCAGAGACTGTCATTGAAATCACTGAGGGATATGGTGAGCATGGGGGTGTGTTCGAGCATAGCTCTGTCTGCCTGTGTAACTCCCAAGATATTCCTTCCTAAGTTTTATTTTCTTTCAACATGTAAATAAATATGGTGACTTTAAAATGGCTTATGTTCAGGAAAGGATTAGGGTTATTTTTGGCACTTAAGAAAATTAAGTAGAGAAACTTCTACTGAGCTCTGTTGAGTAGTAAGAATATAGAGACAGCTAGAGTGGGTTATTATTCTACAGTCCACTGAGTGTAGCAATGTCTGGTGTTCAGGGTGTGTGTGTGTGTGTGTGTGTGTGTGTGTGTGCGCCAATTATCCTCTTTAAAGTATTTTCTTATTGTCATGATGATGGGAATGAAGGATCCATGATGATGTCTGAACCTCTTCGGCAGAGATATTTAACCTAACATCCAAGATGTAGTCTCAGGTTGTTGAAATGTGTACTGCTGATTTTCTTCCCGTAGTAAAAATGACTTCCAGGGACTCACCATGAGGCCTTGTCTTAAAGGAAGACCCCTAAATATCGATGCTGAGTTTGGTTTACATGGAGATTAAATGACTTCTATCTGGTGATGGCCCTCAAAACTGCTAAACACCACTCTGCTCTCCAGCTATCAAGGGATAAGCAGGGGTGAAAATGAAGGAAGAAAACAGAGCAGATTTCTAACACTGAAATGTAGCAGTAATATGTACCCAGCTTTTATGAAATCTCCTTCAACTTGTAAGAAACTTAATCACCAAGAATCCAATAGAGACTTTATATGATTTTTTTTAAAAAAAGCAATTCTATTTTGATATAAGATTTAAAGCAGCTTAAAGAAATATTTATTTGTTGGCCTATACCCTCCTCTTTCTACAAAGGAAATAGCTTGCATAAACATATACAATAAAAAGTAATGGCAAAAAGAACTAGGATATAAGGAAAAAAGGTAAAAATAGGTACTATTTTACCACAGAATAGGAGAACACAATAGAGGCTTATAAGAAGGGATATAAATGGTCTGATAAAGCTTCAAATGTAGCTATGAATTTCCTGTTAGCCAGAGCAAAAAGGGATATACAGCAATCATAAAAAATAAGGAAGCATCACTTTTTAAGAAAAGTTTTTCTAGGACAGAAAGAGAAAAATAAATCTCAAATACAATTTTTGTAGGGGCTACTATGTGGATTATATGTATTGATTTGCTTCCAGTGGGGTCCACATTCAGAGCAAGGCTGTAGTAACCCATATAACAAACATGAACATACATATTGCAAATCTCATAGGTAGGCAGAAGACTCCATCATCCCCTCCCCCACCCCCCACCCCCACACACACACTCAGCTGTGGTGTGCCAAAGATTATTTTGAGAGCTATGTTCTGGCATCATCTGCACTTAAAATAGTGTTGACTAGTTTGATGATTTGGGGGCTTCTAAATGAGCTTTCACTGTTCCACATAAATCCTGCATTTTCTTTTAAATACTGACTAGAAATTTAACATTATAGTTGCCAGAGGCAGAGGACCTGGGTCTTAGTTAAGCCTATATAATAAAAGCCCAATATGCTAAGTGTCTGGTCATCTGTCCAGCCATTCAACCAATCAAAGCGTCATATGCTAATGATATGCTAAGACCCCTCAACCACTTGCTATGACGTGCACTCACCACCAGGGGGCAGACATTCCAACTGGTAGGTTAGCTTGCTGCTGGGGTCTGGCCAATTGGGACTGAGCAAGACTGGCTGAACATGCCCTGGAGCCCTCCCACGGTCCTCCCGGCTGGCCAACCTCCCGCATCACTCCCCAGCCCCTATCATGCACTGGTGGGGTCCCTCAGCCTGGCCTGCACCCTCTCACAATCCAGGAACCCTTGGGAGATGTTGGAGAGCTGGTTTCGGCCCCATCCCATAGGGCAGGGCAAGGGACCTCACTGGTGCATGAATTCGTGCAAAGAGCCTCTAGTCAAAATGTAAAAAAAAGAACTCACAGCTTCTGAAAACATTTTTCCTTGAATATAAAGTGAGAAATGATGATTCTGATGTACACCTAGGCCAGCAAAATGTTTTCAAGTTAACATAGAGTCTTATTTAAAATAAAATGGGCCCTGGCTGGGTAGCTCAGTTTGGCCCCTTGAGTGTGGCTCTTCCTAA